ATTTCTTGAATTATGCAACCTTTCATTGAAGGTAACTTTTTCACCATTTAAAACTATTGCCGATTTTCACGAAGGAATATCATACATGTAAATATCTTTTGCTTTAGAAACAGGAAACTTTCACAATTTTTTTTCTGCAGAAGAAATAAATTTTTTATTTAATTTTTTTTTCATATTTCAAATTAATATTTTTTTATTTTACTCCACTTAAGGCAATAAATCCACTGTCATCATTGATAATACCGTAAACTGGGGTAACTTTGACCAATTTTTGGAATTTTGAAAAAATGACCACCACTGTAATTTTATCAATGGAACTGCAACTTTTGTTCTTTTACTGGTGAGAGTGGCCATTTTTTGTCAGTTTATAGACATCATTGATTTTCAAAGACTTTCCACATATAAGAAAGGCAGCAAATTTGTACACAATAATTTCTGTGTATAAAAAGTGCTTCTCAAAATGTTGTTGGTGTGAAGTTTTTAAAGCAACTTTATAGGAAAAAGATGAGTTATTTGAGAAGCTTAGAGGTCAAATAACATGAAACATGTTTTTGAAGGTTAATAATTGTGAAGGAACTTGTCAACTAGGATGGTCAAAGTTGCTCCAAGATGGTCAGAACTTTTGGTATAACTTTGAACAACAAAGCTGGAAGCAATTTTTAAAAGGCCTGGGCACAAGCTATTTCTCAGAATGCATTGTTCTGACAATACTGTGCATGTCTTTCCTTGCTGTCAAAATTTCAAGGAAGAAGGTCACAGGAAAACTAAAGTCAGTGATTTTTCTTGATTTATCCTTTTTGATATCATCAATCAATCATAAGGTTTCTTTTCCAAGTAATGTACTAGATGCAATTTATCTTTAGTTTCAACATATTGGATTATGTTGAAAGAATATATGGAAATCCTGCAATAAACATGGCCACAGGCCTTATTTTATAGGTGGTCAAAGTTACAGTCCTAGAAATAACTGCAACAAGCATTTATATACATAGGAAAAGTTGTAAACAGCTACAATGGTCAAAATTACCCTCATTGCTAGGTAACATTGACCACCGTGTACAAAGCCTTTTGCCATACACTATTTGTATCAAATATACATCCACGAAACAGAATTTTCAACTTTTACCCAAAAAGTGGAACATAGTTACCCTGGTTTACAGTATATCATGGACCAAAAATGTGAATAAGAATTCAATTTATTAATTATAGAAAATAATCTTTTCTTTAGAGAAAAAACAATCATCTTTTCCTCATTTCTAAGGTGGCTACTTACATGTATGGTTTTCTGAAGTGATAATGGCTAAGGTACCTTCAGTAAAAAATATGGACTAACATTTTCAGCTGATATAAGTGGAAAGAAGATATTGAATCATTGCTATGTCAGCTGCTAAGAAGGTTTGTTCATTATATTGGGCAAGAGAATTTTTCTCTCCAGAATCTATCTTACATTTTTATGATTCTACCATACATCCTTGCTTTGAATATTGCTGCCATATTTGGACCAGTTTTAATGCTATATATTTAGATATCCTTGATAAAATCCAAACAAGAATCTGCAATGTTATTGGTCCTGACCTGCCATCTTGGTGTCACACATTTTCCCATAGATATAATGTAGCTGCCCTGTACCTTTTTTATAGGTTCATGGTAATTGTTTCGATGAACTTTCCATTATGGCACCTAGACTTTAGAATTTAAGTGCAGTACTAGATTGGCGGTTAGGGCTCATCATTTTACAGTTGAAATGGCTAGATGTAATTGTAAGTTCTCTGTTAAAAGTTCTATTACACTTCTCACTTGTGGAACTCATTTTAGGATTCTTGATTCCCAGTCAACTTTGATCTTCAATTGTTACCTTCTGTCCTTTTAATTCTTGTTAATTTATTTTCTCATATTCTCTAACATTCAGTAACACCTTGCATCCTAGCGGTGTAACTGCCTTACTTAGTGTGAAATGATTAAAAAAAAGACTAATAAAAAAATGTGTTCACAGCAAACTGAATTTTCAACAAAATTATTTGTGATTTGTCCAAAGAAATTTTTGTCTTAGGTATGACGATAAACTACATCTGGCAGCAGGGCCTCTGATCAGGTATTTGAGAAGCATAGAACCACCTCTTAATTGCTGATGTTCCCAGGTCCACCCTGACCTGGGGTGGTAACACCTTTTAGCATCCCAGCTATTGGCAAATAGTTAACCTTCAAAACACTATGAAAAAATTACCAGCAATACTTTTTCGGAAATAAAATATTACCATCAATACATGTCATTCTCGACAAAAATCCTAAGTATGTCAATGAATGAAAGCTGATCTACAAACTGATTTCTTACAAAGAATAAATATTCTATGCATACAAACCTATTCTAAAAATCTTGTCAGCATTAAATAACCTAGTGAGGTTGTAGCGGACCATGTCAGCGATGTTTAGTAAAAGTAGAAGAATACATGTGGGTAGAAATTTTCCTGCTAGCCGGTCCAACTACATGAGAAAGTTGGACTTTAATTAAGTCCAAAGAAGGCAAAGAAAAACAAACACAAGACCAATAAATATATGTAAACAAATATATGTATTAATAACAAGAAAGGTTACAAGTTACATGGACAGTTACATGGACAGAGTGCGTGTGGTGAATATTATGTGTGTGTGTTGTGGTGAGTATACGTACGTATGTGTATTGTTCTTAGCGTGTTCCCAGAATTTGGGAAATGCTGTATCTGCAAGGTGGTATAAGGCTTAAGCCTGAGGAAAAGAGATTTACCTCAAGGTGGCGGCCCAAAGGCCTGAGGGAAAAAGAGGTTGTGATGAAGGGTCAGCAAGTATTTATAGCCAGGGGAGAGGGACCCCTGTTGAAAGGTAAGGAGCTAACTCCGACAAGGTGTTGATATGCCGTAAAACAAATAAACCAAAGAAATTTGTCAGCATCAGTTGAAAATTTAAATGGATAAAGAAGCAGGCTATTATTCTTGTTTAAATATAAATTTGAAAATGCACAAAAAGTTTCTTTTATGTAAGATTCCAGTTTATTGTCTGAAATGATCTTTATAAAAAATTAACAAATATAAAAAAAATCAATCTCTCAGTATGTGTGCATTACACACATACTCTCTTTCTCTCTTCCTCTGTCATGAACCCAAAGTCCTACTCACACACATTCCCTTATATATACTCTCCTTCTCTCTCTGACAGTGGCGTAGCTAGGGGGTGCCAGCACAGGAGGGGTGACACAATGTCACCCCAACAAAATTTTTCAACCAGGCTAAGGTGCCAAAAATAGTCTGAAAACAGTGGTGGAGACACAGGGTTTCACAGGATGGCATATGACCCCCCAGAAATAATTTATGACCCCCCAGTTTTGTCCCCCACTCAGAAATTTTCTAATAAATTGTCGGGAAATTTGTGAGTAGGAAAAATAGCAATGTTTTCAGCTTTTGATTTGAACTGATTATTTTGTGGTATTGGAGTTTGTCTTGGATCATACATGTAAACAGTAATGTACCGGTCAGTAGAGTAAAGTAGAGGTAGAGCATGTATGAAAATTTAGCTACAGCTAACCATTCAGCATAGGGTGAATCGGGGTCATTGGGGTGACATTTGAGCGGACCGCCCCGGGTGACGTTTACTCTAGCTACGCCACTGCTCTCTGATACATGTATACATATTCTCTTTCTCACATATACCCTCACATACATACACATTCACTCATTCATACACATGCCTACACGCAAACACATTTTCTCTCTCTCAAACACAGACTCTCTCAAACAGTCTCTCACATAAACACATTCTGTCATATTAATTTACTCCCTCAATTACACACTCATTCTCAGATGTATGCTTTCTCTCACGTACATCCTTCTTCACACACATTCTTTTTCTCACATACTCCCTCACATACAGTCTTTCTCACAAATACATTCTCTCAGATGCATTCCCTATCTCTCAAACACATAGTCTCTTTCACAATCACAATATCCCTCACATAAACTCTTTCACACACACATACACACACTTTCTGTCAAACTGACGTATTTCGTCACAAACACTCACTTTCTCTCACACACCTTCTCAGTCACACGCAATCTTTCTCATAGACTACCTTACACACAATATCTTGCACATTTTCTATCTCTCACAGACTCTCTTTACACACTCTATCTCTCTGAAACGCAGACACTCCCTCACATACACAAACATATAATCTCTCTCACATATGCACACACACACTCTCTCTCACAAACACACTTATATATGCAATGCACACACTTTCTTTATCTCAAGCACATACCCTTTTTCTCCCAACGATCTACTCCCTCACATAGACACCTCATCTCTTTCATCCAGACACTGACTTACCTATGCAGGCACCTAATACTAATTACTACACACACTCTCTCAAACGCATACATTCGCTCAATTACATAAGCATACAATCTCTCTCACATATGCACTCTCACTCACTCTCACTCTCTCTCTCTCTCTCTCTCTCTCTCTCTCTCTCTCTCACACACATATATGCACATTCTTTCTTTTAAGCACATACCCTTTCTCAAATTGACGTACTCGCTCACAAACACCCCCACTCTCTTTCATCCAGACACTGACTCACCTACGCAGGCACCTAGTACATAATTTATTAATGATTTGTAGAAGAAAATACCAGGTTTTATAAATAAAAAAAAGTGGAATGTACTCTCCTGATGAAAGCGAAATATCTACAATAATTCTTAAAGGTTGAATACGGGACGACAAAAATGCATGTCTTCCTTAGCAACCGTTGCTAAGGATGCTATGCAATATTAAATTCATTTTTAAATGTAATTATAAAAAGAACATATATAGATGAAAACAAAGATAATGTAATAAGCTCTGTTATTATAATATATAAACAAAATAAAGAAGATATTATACTATACATTTTTAAATGACTGCAGCATAAAGAAACGATTGAAAAATTAAAATAAAAATTAGTGAAGCGATTAAAAAAAACTGTCGCTTACTGCTTCTCTGGCTTGATGTGCACACCTTAATCCATGGTAACTAAGAGTTGTCGACATTATGACTAAAACATTGTACAGAAAATATCATAAAAAATAATAGAAAAACAGAAACAACGCTGTAAGCATTATTTTCCTTCCTACGTACACGTAACGTGTTTTTGTTTGAGGAAGAAGTGTGTTGTGAAGCGGACAAAGTTATCTCCCTTATTAGAAGAACGAATGAATTATCTCCCTTAGTTTTGAATTTCTAAATTCTTAATCACTGATAATTCCTTCGTCTCTGGCTAGAAAAAATCTTTTAGAATGTATTTATAAAGTAACATTATTTGTAATTTATTATTATAGTAAAAACATTTACAATGCATTTGATTTATATATATTAGAGACTTGTTTTGATAATATTATCTAAATTAATTCCTGATCAATGATGAATTCTACTTTCGTCGAACATTTCAATTCATTTCTATATAGAGAAATCATTTCCAATTAAATGTTATTATAACATTATTTAAAATACTTTTATCTCGTAAAATAATTAGCTATGCATTTACTTTATAAAGCTAATATTCTCATTCTGTCAATCATACTTTAATGTCATTGCTGGACACAGACAGTCCTCTTCTTCCAGAAATTTAAAAATCCAATTCTACTACAAAAGCTGTAAAACTCAATGATTTAGTCACTATTTAATAATCTACGATATGATCCTTGACCTTTCCACAGTTTTCTGTCTTTTGTTCGTCTACGTAATTTTTATTTTACCAGCCCTCTGTAGGAAATTCAGTCGTCCAAGGTTTTTTTCTATGAAAAACCCAGACGTCCGAATTCCAAAGAATAATAAAATAGAAATTTAAAAACATAAACAAAAAAAAATAAAAAAATGGGTATGTCAGTAAAGCATTTGTATTTATAAACATGTACACTACAGTTCAAAAGTTTGAAGTCACCCCCAGAATTAGCATGGAATGGACTTGACAGAAGAGTGAAACCTTTCCATCCCAAAAATAAAGATGAGCTCTTAGAGTCATTGAAATAAGGATGGAATGAATTATCAAACTTACACTCTGAGAAACTTTTGCAAGAAATGCTAAAAATTTGTTATGCTGTTTGATAACTAAATGCAAAATTTAATCATAAAATGCTATTTTCTCCTTTTTGTCATAATAAGATTTCTAATAAAAAAAAAATCATGTCTCACTTTTTTAACCATGTATAATAATTTTATCTTATATAAATCAACTATTTTGGGGACCAATTTAAAAAAAAAAATTACTAGGGTTAACCTCAAACTTTTGAATTGTAGTGTACATGAATGCAAAATAGTCGAAAAGGAGTAAAAATAGTCTTTAGTTGTATTTTATCTTTAATGTCTGTTACTTTTGGCTGTACTTGAGTTATCTCCTTTTCATTGGTAACGTCAGGTTTCAGTGTCGTTGCTATAATAAAGGCGGACACTTTCGAAATCGGGAAATAAAAACACCAACTCAATGAAAGATCTAAGCACAATAATAGTAATAATCGGGAAAATTATTTCCCATATGTGATCAGAAATTATTTCGGTCTTCGTCTATTTTTGATTTGTAAATGAGGTTTTGTGTTCGTAGTTTATATGTTTCCAGGGTCCTTCTGTTTCACCTATGTACATTTTTTTCTTCGTTATCTGCTGATTTTCCACACAACATTCATGGCTTGAATATTGCATGAAACAGTCTATCGCTGATGGGCGTTAACGTCAATATCTACTTTTATATTTACATACGCTCTATCCCTGATAATGAGCACTTCAACACATAAATATAGCATACCGTAAAACTAGATTTTTATCATATAAAGAGAGAGAGAGAGAGAGAGAGAGAGAGAGAGAGAAGTATATATATATATATATATATATATATATATATATATATATATATATATATATATAAAATAAAAAAAAAGAACAGTAAGATATATAATCCGGTGTCCTTATTCATATTTTTATTTTTACAAAATAGTGCTCAATGTAAATTTACAGAGCATAATATTATAAATTAACTGATTTAAAATATGTTTTTTCACTACACAGTAATAACTGTGTTTCTAAAATGGAAGCTAAAATCTTCAAATTTAATTTTGTAATTAAATTAAAAACATTAGTTCCATATCATCCTCAAGCGAATTTTGGAGTAAGTTATTTTTTAAATTTACTGTGTTTTAAAGCCACAGAAAAATCATAATTCACTGTTTCCAAGGACACAGAAAGATCCAATCATACAGACAAAGGGTGGTAGCGTGTTCATTTTTATTAACTATATATATATATATATATATATATATATATATATGACGATGCGTTCTTCTTCTCCCTATACCTCACAATGAGTCCCCTATAACACACTATTTCCTTTTCTTTCTCCAACTGAAGAGTACCCCACTACAAAATGATACCATAAACAGGTTGAAAAATCCTGCGAATTTTAAAATTAAAATTCATAGGTGAAAATGGTCATTTACTAAAGGTATCTTAATTCCAACTGTTAAGAAAATTTGCTCTGTTTAATGAAAATAAACATTGTGTTCTCTTTTGTGAATCAGTTTTAACTTATTTCAAATTGTATGTTGTTGTTGTGGTGTCCACCCATAAAAAGTCTATGTTGGACTCTTCCGCCTACTATAAGATTAGTAGGAGAGAAGGCCTTGAGGGAACAGTCGAATAGATTGTTCATCCGTCGAATTCTCACCCTCGAGCATAGAGGAACCTGGACGAGGCTTTGTCGAAGGGCAAAGTGTTATCCGCGGAGGTAGACCGGCCCTGAACCCGTTTATGCGGGTTCTAAGGAAATATTTTTGGCCGAGCCTACGGGCTCTCAAAACCCACGGTAAACACGGCTTTGTGCCATATACATCCCTCATTGCGGGGGGGGGAGGTTAAATATTATCAGTCGAAGAGATTGTTCAACCGAGGCTGTGAATTTTCGTAGCTGGTATCTAATTCTCTGCCTTTGAACAGAGAGGAATCCGGACGAGGTTTTGCCGAAGGGCAAAGTTTCGTCCGGGGTGGTAGACAGACCCGGACCCGCTTATGCGGGTTCTACGGGGATATTTTTGGCCGAACCTACGATAAACTCAGCCTTGTGCCACATACATCCCTCGTAAGGTAGGGGACTGTTAAATATTAGCAGTCGAATAGATTGGAAGCTGGGTCAATCGACACACACTCACTAGTTGTATTTACTGTTTAATATATATCGGCAACACTTGTTTAGTATTTCTTTAAACATTTACTTGGCCACAACAGTTGTGTTAATAGGACTCGCCTGGATTATACCAACCGATTACTACCTATATATATATATATATATATATGATGAAGGTAACATCAATCAGCTAAATGACCAAACTTTTATTTATATTAATTTGTGTGTGTGTGTGTAATCGACAATAACGGCGATAATGACACTAAGACGTATGGTGTTACTGAGAGTGAAAGGAAATGAAAAAAAAAAACGCTAGGTCAATAATGGAATAAGATTCAGGAAGACAGAAGATGGCGATTGATGTTGCATTTAAATTTTTAAAGGATCTAGGTGACAGTAAATCGTAAGAGAGTTCTACGGGCGCGAAGTACAAGTGAACATACCATTAGAATAGAACATACGTTTGCATCCAGCTATTTCAACATTAAAACTGCGATATTGCCAATCTGTGAGATAACACGCTGAAATTCATGCGGTCCAGGTACCAGTAACAAAAGCTTATCAAGAACAATTGCTGAGAAAATAATTATAGAAAAAGTCTGAGAAGCCATGTCACTGCAGTGAGAAAATGCCTGAAGTCAAGATGACAGGCCAGGACCGATAACATTACTGACCCTTCTTTGGATTTTGTTGAGGATATCGAGATATAGATTAGGGGTTACTGACCAAATAGGGCAGAAATATTCAGTGTACGGATGAATGATAGATTTATAAATGTACACGATGAATTTCGACGAGAAGAATTGTCTGGCACGACACTGTGAACCAACTTCCCTAGCAAAAGAGCGAGTGAATGATTTGATATCATCATTTCACTTCATGTCAGCGGGAAACGTGGAGCCAGAAAGGCGCAATCAGTTGCTCTTCTGGAGATTAGCATCGGCCATGCAGTTGGAAAGCAAAAGAAGTTCCGTCTCATGACTAAAAGATAACAGTTTCGTTTTGGTGGTGTTAAAATTTACAAGCCATTTCTTGCCTCAGTTAACAACTTATTGGAGGTCATTTTCGAGATCAGCAAAGAGTTTTACTTTACCGAACCTACTGAGCTTACTATTATATATATATATATATATATATATATATATATATATATATATATATATATATATATATACAGCTCTCAGTCTTGAAGACCTACAAACAAATCGCAAATGAAATGGAAAAAACACACCGGGTTAAAATCAAGAGATATTGCTATCTAGTTCTGTCAATGGCCTAATTTCAATGCTGATATATTTCATTCAACAAATTATTTGTAAATAATATTAAAAGAGAACATTTTTAAAGATTTCGAAATTAGCGAAAAAATTTTCTTAAGTTTTTATATAATTAACCAAGAGAACAATAGTTCTAGTGTTCAAAATGAATTGTAGTAAGTGAGTTTTCAAAGTTCGAAGTTATTTTGTGGCAAGTGAGTCTACAAAATTCGAAGTTATATGTACGCCAGTATGGTTGTGTAAGTGAAGCACACGTGGACGAAACATGTGTGTGACTGCTTGTATGCGATAGCTGCGATTTCAAAACACAATGAACAAAGAGAAAGAGATCTATAACTTACTTTACTCGCGGCTTTGTATGTAGAAAGATCATTGCTGACTGACCCCTTGTCATGGTAACGTGTGTTGAGGCTGGGCCTTGTTTACTGACTAATCCTTTTCGCAGATTTCTTCTGACTGTTCTGACTGCAGCTGACAAGATGTTTTTATCGCTTATGGCGAGTCGGTAATCGGCTCACGAATTCTGAGTTTTTCATGGGAACGTACACAGTTCCTATTTCCAAGTCATTTAGAGTTCATAGGCGCGGACGTCGTATAGAGCACA